TTTCGGTTGGAAATTGATTTGTGATCATCTTTTGACTAAATTTGATCCCCTTGACATCTTCCTTTATCCAATTGACTCCGAGCACTCTCAAATCTTCATCGTGAGATTCGGCACAACTTTTAAGTATTTACATTTTAGCCCCCGAACTTTGGATCACTTACAATTTAGCCATTTCTCCAAATTTGTCAACTTTTGCTTTTTTTCTTCGATCTCACCAACGTACACCACAACATCAAAATCACACATCTAATTATTTATCAATTACATAAACATTACATCATTAATTATTTAAATAACCAAATAAATTATATCTTTATTAATAACAAATTAATTTTTAAACAAAACTATTAAATATAAACTAGGCAAACATGCATTGCACGTTACTTGCACCTAGTATTGGTATATAAACGCATAATGTGGTGAGATATGATTGTATCAAAATTTTTTCAATCAAATGATATATATTAAAAAAAAAAAATTCTTTACTAACTTATTGACACTTCATCTATTTGTAAAATTTTCTGTAACTTCTTAGGCACAAAAAGCATTATTCTTTATATTTTGATATTTTAGCAAATTAGTCAGCTAGGCTGGTCCTCACATGTCGCTAGGCTAAATGATGGGCGTGATTGTTTAAACTTGATGCCCTTGTTTGATTTAGATAAAAATTTAATTTTATTAAATTAATGGATTATGTTGTTGAAAAGTTACGATTCTTATGAAATATATAATTAAATTTAGTATTTTTTTTTACTTAGTTTTTAATTCAAATTTTTAGCTAAATCAAATATGGGCGATATATTTGCAAATTGAGATTTTTTTATTACATTTAGCGTAAATTTTGATATCGTAATAAAACCTAGATTTGGAGGTACATCGAGCAAAAAAGGAGGATTTTGAGCTTAATTAAAATTGATTCGAAATAATTGAAGGCATGATTGGACAAGAATCTGGATTGATGCAGCATTGAGAGAGTAATTGAAGGAAAGTCACAAGTTTCGAAAATCAAATTCAACTTTACTTTAATATGCACCAAATCATATCACTTTCTTCGGTACTCCTTAAATTTAGTTTTGTTCTACGATAAACATAAACAAATAAAAATATGCATATATTAATTCAAAAGCACTAACTAAAGTCTCGTAAGTGAGTCAAAATAGTGTGTATTTTATGTGTATCAAACACCCCGCAAACTTAAATTTTTACTAGCCTCAAATCGAAAAATAGAAAATCAAAACTCAACGAACACAAGTAAAGATTGTGCAATTCGAGCAGATGTCTTACAACATTCGCATCAAGTTTTGATCTAAGCATTTAAGTTAATGAAAAATATTACAATAATTACACAATTTTTTCTTGGTAAAACTTAGTCTTGTGTGTGCTCATAACTTCCCAAATGTTTCCTATAATCCGAATTGAGTTATGCAAACGAGTGTCACACGACGATTTAATGTTTAATGATTATTTTCCGAGGACATAATGCTACGTTTCTGAGTGTCAAGTTTTAATATGAGCATTTAGTCATTGTTTGGCCTCCATGTTAGATAATTTATAAGTTTTGGAATAATGATTGAAGGGGGAATGTGTGGTTGAAAAAAAAATAGATTCTTGTATAATATTATTTTATTTAAAGAATATGTTGTTAAAATTAAGAAATAGAAAAAGATTAATGAGGCCAAATGAAAAATATCACAATAATAGCTACACAATCTTTTCTCGGTACCTACTTGTTCGACTTGTGCATGTGCTCATAACTTCCCAAATGTTTCCTATAGTTCGAATTGAGTTATGCAAACCAGCGTCACATGACGATTTAATGTTTAATAATTATTTTCCGAGGACATAATGCTATATATGAGCACCATTTTTTGAAAAAAATGTATTATTGAATAGTGTTTCAATCACATTTCAATTACATATTTTTCAATAAAATAATATTACAAGCAAATTCAAAATCTTTATTTTTTTAACCACATATTTTCCGTAAATACCTATTCAAAAATACATTTTTTTGGGGACAAAAATGTGGCTCAAACAAGCCAGCAATTTTAAAAAGTGAAGACACGAGTGCAATAAATAATAGTTGGGAGGTATTGGCATAACACCTACAAAGATTGGGGACTCCTATTGGAATTTAAACCCTCTTTTTCTTCTTCTTCCTCCTCCTCCCTCTTCTCCTCCTCCTCAGTTGCCCTAAACCCTAAACCCTTCTGCGTTTGAGCATCCACCACACCACAATGGGAAAAATTGGAAGCGTTAAAGTATCCCAAACGACCAAAGACCTAGACCACATCAAATCCGACGTCGCGTCGTTTGCATCCTCTCTCGGCTTCTCCTCTGCTCCCTCCTCATCTGCCGGCTTCAATGATTCAGATTTTCATAAAACTGGTCCCCTTAAACCCCATTCACGACCACCCAAAAATTCGTACATAGATAAAACTAAGATTCCACACGACAAAGAAAACAAAAACATACCCAAAAATAACAACAAACGGAGCAATCCCAAATTCGACGTTAAATCTCCTCAAATTCAGACCCCCAATTTCAGCAACGGTGATAGTAAATTTAAGAATCTCCCGAAGCTTCCGTTGCTGAAAGCCAGTGCAATGAGTGTTTGGTACAAAGATGCTGCCTTGCTGGAGGAGAAAGTGATAGGGGATAATAAGAGAATTGAGTTCAAAAGTGTGGATGAATGGAAGGGTTTGGTGGAGGAAAAGAAGAATGTGGGCGAGCGTTTGATGGCCCAGTATGTCCGAGAGTACGAGTCATCACGAGGCCAAAGCGGGGATATTAAGATGCTCATTGCCACACAGAGGTCAGGGACTGCTGCGGATAAGGTGTCGGCCTTCACTGTCTTGGTCG